CAGGGTTTTAGGGAAAAGCTGCTCATAATAATAAACAATCGGACCACGGGGCAAATCAACACCCAATGATAGATATCTGTACAAGTAAGACACTGGGTGTGTCTGGAGGGACCGTATTGTCAAATTGCCAGGTTATCCGTATCGAATTGCTGAACCTACTGCTCCGGACTAATAACCAGCGGCTGTTCCGTATTTCCAATGACGAGATAGTAGCGCAAGGATGAGCCATTACTTTGGCAGGTATGAAATGCGGCGCAGGATGTTCATAGTAGGATGGGAACTCGACTCGTGGCCCATGTTTGCCCTTCAAAGCATGCCAAGCTTTGCTAATAATGTTCTCCCATAAGCACTCTAGAAATCATTTTTTTTCTTTTTTAAGGTTTATTCAGGTCAGCTTCCCGCCCTGAAACAATTATGAGCTGGGCTGGGATTGGCTCTGTTGGACCTCCAAAGGTATTACGGAGTACGGACTGGGAGTTATGACAAACACCCCTTGTTCAATTGACACTAGAGCCAGACGAGAACTTTGCTCCAAAAAATGCTCCGCTTGAAGCAAGATTGGACCACTTGGGTGATCAAATAGTAAAGACCGCGAGGTGGCTGCGTCGCATCTTCCTGCACAGTGAACATGGAAACGCCAAAAAGGAAGCCTAGTTCCCATCGGTTGGCAATTGAATTTTTGCCGCAAAACATGGTGATGCGCACATGCCAGCTTCCTGAAGGTTTGTGAAGCGCATCGCCAACGCCACGCGGCGGCCACGCAATCAGTACCATCGATTGCCATCCATCGTCCTCGGTCGCGAGTGGAAAAGCGGATCTTCACAGCTTAAGGGTATCGTGATTCTACAATACATACGGAGTACAGACGTGGTTGATTGTCAGGATAAGGAATTTTGCTCGCCTGGTTGAACCTGCACCAGACATCGGGCGTGCCGCCCTGGGCCGCTACCAGCAGGAGCTTGAAGGTGGGGACATGGGCCAGGATGGTTCCAAGCACTGTAGTATCGTAGTGAGTTCTTACATGCATGACCACCAGTACGGGGCAGTATTAATCTCGGTTTCTCCAGTTGTCCGTCACCTTTTGCCAATTCCAATTACTAAGTGCACCGGCGCGAGGACGCGTATTGCAATCTTGGTACGTACGAAGGAGCTATCACCCCAAGCTTCGCTTCATGTCGCTAAACCAACAATAACATGACGCCAATTGCCGAGGGCCCGTGGATGAACCTGACCATCGACTCCGTACTGCAGATTTTGTCGCACGCGGCAACATTGCTCTAGTGAAGGCTGAGTTCAGGTACAAACCTACTTAAGTACCTTAGTACAATACGTAAGTTACGAGCCGCACAACGCCCAGGTTTCCGTTTTGGCCGATGGTGGCGTTGGTGGCTGTGGAGCGATTGTGTGTGCCTCTGCCAGGCACCTCACCACCTCGTGTCCAATAGTGGAGACATGGTGGGTGGGCGTGCGAGAGAACATGGGCCAAGTGTCCGGTCAGTAGTACATGCTCACATACTGTTCAGCAACAATCAGCCTGATGCTCCCGAAAGCAGGCATTTTGGTGGTGAATATGTGAATCGACGGCGCAAAACCATACTGAGGTATGGAGAAGGCCAGGCGCAATGTCTCCACGGGTCGACGCCAGATGCACATGCAACTCCACTCCCTCTTGTAAACAACGGCCCAAGTTGCCAAGTTTGCGGGAATTGGCATCCAATTGCCAAAGCACGGCACCTAAAGGGAGGGTTTGGAAGTGCATGCCACACAACCACGATCCCACGCCCCCCTTGGGCCACAGGTCCCAGCGTCGATGGCTTTGGTCTGTGCCGTTCGGGCCATGTCGATGGGACCTTGTCTTATGGTGTTGTTTGGGGAGCAGCTCGTCCAGGTTGCTTGGCCTGTCCTCGGTCCACTTGGTTGAAGCTGGCGAGGACCAGTAGAAGAAGAAAAGACCTGGGTGTGTTTCTCCTTGACCATACATCCTCCTTCCCCTTTCTCTTCCTTCCGTCGCCGTCGTCGTCTTTCGTTGTCGTCGCCGTCGTGTCATCGTTTCAAAATTTCGATTCCTGCCGTTCGTTCGCTAGGTTCCATATCGCCCTTTTTTTTTTTTTCAATAACCGTCAAACTATTTCTTGACCAACTCTTCAAGTCACTGGCAAGGCGACATACTTACTTCTTCGACCTTGAAATCCAAGTTGGCAAGCAGAATTGACTTTGGACGGTACGTCTCGGACGTTGTTTCGGCATCGCACGCGCAGCCACATCTGTGGGCTCCCTCAGTTCACAATTTTTATCCCCATTGCCCTTTTGCACCTGCCGCTTTTCCCCCTCGCTCCCTGCTTCCCTCTTTCCCTAAGTCCAGTGCCCCGTTCCTGGTGGCTGTCCTTTGCAAGTCGGTCTTGCCCGAACGCTCGCATTCTGTCAGTAACCTTCGTTTCGATACTTGCCTCGGGGCTTCGTGACTTGGGTCGCGACTTGCGCCGTGAATGACACACCCGACCAGAAAATCCTTCCCCGAATCCTGCATCATTGGGACGCAATCTGCTTCGACAAACATTCTTTGCCAGCTGTCGAAGCCCTTTTTGGACTGCAGCCGATAGAGTTTTATATACACCAGAAATCAATCAAAGTCAGCAATCGTCGAAGCCCCGAACATTCTTTTCCCCAGCAACCACGTTTTGCACGATCGCATCGTTCGCCACATCAACGTTTGTATCAGTTGGTTACTAATGCTTATTTATAGATAAACAATGCATTCTGTCAAGCTTTTCTCGGCCGTCTTGGCTGTTGCTGGCTTTGCTTCCGGTGAGAAGCTCTCTCTTGCTTAACTATAGACGTCTTTCGTGCTCTAATGATGAAACAGCTGCCACTACCTGCTCTCAGGACGTCAAGGTTACCCAGCCCACACCCGTCATCGACTGCGATGTTGTCGACGCTAATATTCTCGTCGACTCGAGCGTCTCGGGGAGCTTGAGCATCGAGGGTCCTGAACAGGTCAAGGGTGACTTGATTATCAACAACGCCACACAACTTCTTGGCATTAGTTCATCCTCCATCAACGCTATTGGGGGCACTCTTCGTTTGCAAGGTCTTCAGCTTCTTAGCTCTTTCAACATGCGATCATTAAAGTCTGTCGACAATCTGGAATTGATTAATCTCGCCCAGCTCAGCGGGATGACACTTGGTACCTCTGGTGTTACCAAGGCTAAATCCATCAAGATTCAGGACACCTTCATCAGCGATCTTAGCGGTCTTAACGTAGCTACCGCTGACAACATCACCATTGCCAATAATGGCCGCCTTGCCAGTTTCACCTCAAAGCTGGAGAACGTTACCTACACGCTCTCCGTTGTGGACAACGCTGGTAGCATGCAAATCAACATGTCGCAGCTTCAATCTGTTGGCATACTCGACTTTCGATCCATCAAAAGCTTTGATGCTCCTCTCTTGGAGACGGCCAACCGCATTAGCTTCCAGGAGAGCCCAGATCTGCTTTCCGTTTCTGCCAACAACTTGACTCAAATCAAAGACTCTCTTACTCTGGACAACAACAAGAAGCTTGCTAACATTTCCTTCACTGCTCTGGAGAAGATTAGCGGTGACATGACCATCCGCAACAACACTGCTCTCCTGAAAATCAACAAGTTCCCTAAGCTGAAGACGATTGGAGGTGCTGTACTTTTGGCTGGTAGCTTTGACACGTAAGTATAACTTCGGGTTCATATCTGTTCTAGTTTCGTTGGCGCTAACTGCATGATCTTGCAACAGTGTCGAGATCCCTGAACTTAACGACATCAAGGGCGCCGTGACCGTGACTTCTACCACCGATATCTCCGACTTCTGCGGCTTCTTCGATAATCTGGCGAAGAAGAACGCTATTCAGGGCAAGGAGTCGTGCACCTCCAACAACGCAAAGGCTAATGAGGGCGGTAAGGGTGGCACTTCTGGTGGTAACAAGACCGATTCTGCCGCCATGAACCTTGGTGTCAACCACGCTGTGTTGGGCTTTGCCGCTGTTGCTGGTTTTGCGCAATTGATCTAAGACACCCGGATAGAAAAGTATACGACTTTAGTGATGTTGGCGTCGTTCAGCTGTTCTTCCACATATTTTCAGTCTTTTCTTTAACCGGTAGTTCGTGGTATATTCCCTGCTTCACCTGTAGAAGGGCAGGTTGAGAGCCCAAGACGAACATGGCCAGTGTACGTCTCATACATGCTAGGACTTAATAATGGATTGTATTTGATTCTGCTTGTAAAATGACTAGGAGCCATAATGCGTTACTGTTTTTCCTCTCGTGAATGGCTTCCACATCATGACAGTCATCAGCGATCCTACTTCAACCAAATGAGTCAGGCCTCTTTTTATCATTTTGGACCTGTGCTAGCTATTTTTGGCCATAGAGTACCGTCGGCCAGGTACCAGAAACCTAAAAAATGTTCGTCGCCAAGCAACGACAGTATGGGGTGTGTAGCATTCCAAAGGCGTGCAAATACAGGCCGACCCAGTGATGATGTTTCCCGCAATTGGACTACTAGCATTTGCATGCCTGATAGTTGTGCATTGTGCCACCATCACAACCAGGTGCGAAAAACAGCAAAAGTCATGACGTCCATGCCATCTATTTGTACTACGATGCCCTGTGGCACCTTGACGTGTTCATTTGATGCGCATAACGCCTATCTCTTCGCTTGTTGACTATTGGAACAAGGGTGTGCATGGCATCTAGAAAACCATCTTGGTGTTGCGAAACAATATCAGTGCCCTGCGCATGACGTCGACATGACCCGTAACGGGGTGGTACTAGTGTATATATGAAACCGTTGTATATCTGTAAGGCACATAGATGCTTTGGTATGTATCCTGATATACCAACGTGAGAAGATGTCACCGGACGTTGTATATACCCTTCTCAAATGTTTCCGAATCATAGAATTTAGGTATTATTGTGTTGCCGTTGAATACGCGACCGTCTAGCTCGTTAACCGCCTGCGTGTCATGTTTAGCAGGCCCGCTCGGTGACAGGTCTTGGAATGTTGGGCAAGATACATACTCGCAAAGCGGAGACCTGGTCTGTAAATTTTATGAACACTCGACGAGTAGGCTGGTCAATATAAAGACGTTCCACACGGCCATACTGCAGCATGAATTAGTGAATAATTACAGAGAAATGAGCCGTCATGGAGTGGGAATGCTCACCTTTTCTCCGCACTCCTCTCCAATTTCCTGCCCCAGGCCATCGGCAATCTCTGCCTGCAGATCGGGCATGTTCTCCAACATGTTCTGCAAAACAACAACGTCGCTCATGGCGCCGAACTTGCCGGCCGATTCTTTGCTCTTGGAGCCGATGATTCTGCCTTTGCCCCCGGGTTCTGCCCACCCGCCGCCGTCGGCATCAGCTTTCTTGCGGCGTTTCTCGACTTGTACCCGAAGAGGGTTGATGATGCCAGTCTCATTGGCGCCGAGGCCGGTCCCTTGCATCCAGCCGTATTTGGACATGAGACGGTGGGCGAAACCGGCCTGGCCAGGACGGTTTGAACGCTGCTGAGCCTCTGGTCCTCCGATTTCATCGTCATCGTTGCCACCGAGAGTGGGTGGTGGCGAGTAGGCATAGTCTTCTTCGTGAGAGTCTCCGGGTTGAATGTAGTGGACTGGGGCGCGAGATATGGTTGCTGAGTCTGTGGGTGGTAGAGGTGGAGGAGGCACGTCCGCTTTTGTGGGCGGTGAAGGCGGCGGTGGAGGTTGATTATCTGAAGACAAGGCCATGCGGCGGGCGTAGGCATCATCGGCGCTCTCATCTGGTGGCGGCGCTGCTGCAGGTGATTCAGGAGGTGGCGGTACGAAGGAGTATGAAGGGGGAGGTGCGAATTGGTCTGAACTCGAGTTAGTAATGGAGATAACAAAATGACGGTCACGGAGAGAAAGGCAAAACATACTTGATGGCACTGGTCTCGAATCGTCGTCCTCATCGTCTGATATATCGCTTTCATCCGCTTTTCTCCTGTGCCGATACAGCAGTGCTTTCCACTCTCTCACTTCTTCTATCTTTTCATCACTTTTCAAGTACTCGTCAATGTTGGTTGGTCTAGCCGGATCGTATATCTCGTCCCAGTCTGTTTCGGCTTGGATTTGCTGCTGCTTCTTCTTCTTCTTCCGACCACCACGCTGGCGCTTCTCACCAACGCCGTATCGCCATTCATCTTCCTCCGTTGCGGCCCAGTCAGCAAGAGTACTCTTAGCGGGTTGCCCAGCAGTTGAGGCCGTCGAGGCTATAAAGGCATGAGGTGCTGATTGACCAGCATTTGTGCTAAGTTCTGCAGCGTCTGCTGGCTTTGAAGCTGGTATTGACTTTGGAAACGCGGTGCTTTTTGGCTTGGCTGCCTGTTTAACGGGAAGGCGGCGGATGGGCTGAAACCGCAGGGCTGGATCCAGAGACTTCTTGGCCTCGGCGGCTGATTCAGCTTGTCCGTATAAGACTGGAGCGGAGGATATCGTGGCCGGGGGAGCCGGATCATTGGGATCCAGGAGGTTGTCATACAGCGAAAATGGCGTCTTTGATGGCGGCGGAGGAGGTGGTGCAGCCATCGCGACTTTGCGGCGCTGATAAGCGCGGTTGCAGGTGATGAATATCCAAGTTGGCCTTTCAGCTGATAACGACCTCGGCGATATTACGAATCGAGGTTGTCTTCCGTCATTGGGTGCGCGAAGAGCTGGACTCTACGAAGGCGCCTTCGACGCTCGTTTTGGGCAAAGTGAAAGACTGCAGGCGAATATTGAATATTGAAGATCACTTTCAGCCTTGGAGTCCTTGAACTTAGCGCACCTACAGCTTCTGAGTTAGTACCGGAGCACTCAATGTTGGGTGTTGTGACCCAGATGTCCAGTGTCGGATAAACGGCGGGCCGGCGTCATGCCTGGCTGCATGCTAACACACGGGGCAGTGTGGCCAAGCCACCTGAGCATCAGAAGAACCAGTTGACATCTTGATGCTGGTGAGCTAGCCTTCTGTGCCCCGCCAAACCCCGCCAAAATTTCCGCCGTCGTTGTGCTTGCCGGTAGGGAAAAAGTTTATCAAAGGCTTGAGTCGTTTCTCTTTAGCTAACAGCATTGGATGACCAGACCCTTCTGAGTCGGCCTAGCCCCATTTTAGGCAGGCACCACCTACCCCCAAACATTGCCTTCTTACATATCACCTTTCGTCTTCTCGCCACTAGAGGGGCAGCTATTTCGACCTCCCAGGCAGTTCTGACTACTCCTTTGTTCTTTAGCTGCCAAGATATCGACTATCAATCAGTACATCCGACGGAGCGAGCGAGTGGCCTCCCCACATTGATCTGGCGACAACAATCGATCTTGAACCAGCGTAGTTTCTATAAACATCTACACATTTGTCAAATATCACTACGATCGCAATGTCTGACCTTGCGAGCCGTATCACAAGGCCCGACGAACCGGCCGCTGATGCCCCCAAGGACGATGCGGCTGCTTCGAACGCGCAGGTTGATGGCGCATCCGCTGCCATTGGTGGCTCTGCTCTTCACGAAGCCGATGGTGACGTCGAAGTGACCATTAGTGGTGCTGACAACGATGCTCCCATCTACTCAGCTGCCACTTGGGATGATTTGGGATTGTACGTGCGACATAATGGCACATAAGCTCCTAGTTGTAGTACTAACAAACCACTTTCGCCTAGGCCGGAGCAGATTCTGAAAGGCCTCCTCGCACAGAACTTCTTGAAGCCTTCCAAAATTCAAGGCAAATCTCTACCGCTCATGATGAGCAACCCTCCCAAAAACATGGTTGCCCAGTCGCAATCCGGTACCGGCAAGACTGTTGCCTTCCTCACAGCCAGTCTATCTCGTGTAGACTTCACCCAGCCAGAACGGCCACAGGTTTTGATCCTGGCTCCTAGCCAAGAACTTGCGGACCAGATCTACAGGAATATTCACACTATTGGGCGATTTGTCGAAAATCTCAAGGTTGCGCTGGCCATACCCGGGAGGATTCCTCGAGGCGAAGCAGTTCGAGCTAGCGTTGTAGTTGGTACTCCGGGCACAGTCTTAGATCTAGGCCGCCGCAAGCAGATGGATTGTTCTAAGCTCAAAGTCCTTGTTCTAGACGAGGCTGACAACATGTTGGACATGGCTGGTCTTGGCGACCAATGCCTTCGAGTGAAGCTTCGGTGAGTCCCAAACACCCTTGACGCGCACCGTGAACGTCTTGACCTAACTGAACAATGTTAGGCTTATGCCACCAGACACTCTCGCGAACCTCCAGGTGCTTCTCTTCTCCGCTACGTTCCCGTCACGAGTAAAGCAGTACATTCCAAAATTCGCACCTAATGCGAACAGTTTGACTCTGAAGACGAAAGAACTCACTGTCAAGGGCATTTCCCAGATGTTCGTAGACTGCCCGGCGGAAAGTGAGCGGTATGATATTCTTTGCAAGCTGTACGGTTTGATGACCGTTGCACAGTCGATTATTTTCGTAAAGGTATGATACGTATGCTGCGTGATTAGGTAGTTCGATTGAGCACTCACAGTCAAGCAGACCCGGAAGAGCGCCAATGAAATCCAGCGCCGCATGACTGACGATGGCCACAAGGTCACCGTTTTGCACGGAGAATTCGAGAGCAGTGAGAGACAGGAGTTGCTCGCCAAATTCCGCAATGGAGAGAGTAAGGTTCTCATTACTACTAATTTGTTGTCCCGTGGTATCGACGTTTCTAGTGTCTCCATGGTCATCAACTACGACATTCCTATGAAGCCTGGACCAAAAGGCGAGGAGCCTGACCCCGAAACATATTTGCATCGCATTGGCCGAACTGGGCGATTTGGCCGCATTGGTGTCAGTATCAGTTTTGTCCACGATCAAAGGAGTTTTGACTCCCTTAATGCCATTGCTACGCACTTTGGCATCGACTTAGTGAAGTTGCCTACAGACGACTGGGACGAGGCTGAAGAGAAGGTCAAACAGGTTATCAAGAAGAACAGCGCACAAGCCAACTATGTACCCAAGGTGGAGGATAACCAGGCTGATGCTGCACCAGCTTCTTAGGGGTGGCCAGGTGCAGTAATGCCAATGACTACCTTTTGGTGAAAAAAGAAGAAGGGATTATAAGTTGATCATTCTATCACGACGATAATGTATTGACATGGTATTAGAGCTGTCGACGATGGGTCGCAGTGGAAATTGGTTGCTAGTCCTGGCTCAGTTGAAAGTGGAGTGCAACAATGCATGCCGAGATACCAATATCAGATTTGAAGTAAACAAATAACAACAGAGGGCAATGATGTAACGATAAGGATGAACTAAGAGTTCCAAAAGTTAGCTGGTCAATGCCATGACGATTCCGCAAGATGTGTGCTTCTTTTCGCCACTTGACGGTCGTGTGTGCCTACGGATGCAAGTGTTCACGTGGTCTTCGCTCACCGTAATGCCATCGCGGGGTCGCAGCATTGTTGACTGAGCTTGCATGGCTAGTACATGTAGATTTCCGATTCTGAACCAAGCTGTGGTCTTCCCTTGACCGAAGTCCGGCTGTGACGGTTGCTATCTGCCTGGTAAGTTAACTATTACCTCGCTATCTTGCTCACCGCCGAGACCACCACATATCTGCAAGGGTCCCCAAAGCCGAAATGACAAAGTACATATGTACGTATGTAGCCCCTGTGGTCAATCACCCAGCGAGGCTTTGGAAAAACAAAACGAGATAGATGCTGTGATTAGATTGCGGTGACACATATAATGATAGTAATAATTTATTTTATTTTATTTTATTTTATTTTTTTTTAATGAGGCTGGTGTCGTCGCTTCACTTCAGTTCCCTCTGTCCAAGTGGGTACATTTTTGATCAACCCGCACCGTGGAGACGAAGGCGTCATGACCCCCTGTCTATTCTCATTTCGTTGACCCATTGACACCGGACATGTTATTTCATGCAAAATTGGCAAACGAGCTTGGGAAGCGGTTCGGTGGTGATGACTCCAACAATGACTAGTGCGTTCTTGGGTGTGACGAATATTCATGCAGGAAGCATGACCACCATCCTTGGGCCTGGGGACTTAGTTATTTGGGCTATATTCTGGGAGCCAAGATGTCAGTGAAGTTTGACATAATCAATTTGAGCTTAATGCTTGATAGAGGAAGGGTATCAACACTGCATTGTGGTACATAGAGTGCACGGGCCAGGGCCATGGAGCGAGCCAGTCCTCATCGGTCATGATGCATGAGCTGCTCACTCACTCAATCAAGCATACGGAGTAATACAGGGTCCACTTCCGCATGAGCATTTCTACAAGGTCGTGCTTGCCCAGGCAGTCGCGCTTACATATTGTCTTGCACCATTGCACCAGACATAGTAGGTCTGATTCGGCGGCACTTTCCCCAACGCCGACTTCGTGCGTACGACCTGCAGTCAACCCAATGGATCCCTTTGATTATGCAGCCGACACCATTGGACACGAGCCACGTTGCACTACTCTAAGCACTTGCGTGCCTGAGGGGTCGAAGAGAGACGCCAGACCTCTGGACATATGGACGATAGAATCCCCTCTGGTGTGTTAAGGCTCCAGTGGGGTTACGAGCTCCACAATGCACATGCTGATAGCGGGTGACCTTAGGGCGACCCGTTAATCGCGCTAGGACTGTACTAAGTTAAATGTAGTGACTTGTAAAATACTATCTTATGGGTACACTTATGGTCACTTAATATTATAGTAAGTAAATGTACCTTTTTATATTTAGCTTCTTATTGGATATATATCCCTGCAGATACTCGATTGGAGCCTTAACACACCAGAGGGGATGCAAAGACCGCTGCATCCAAAGGCAAGAAAGTGTCTCCGGGTCGCACAGATCGTCCCTTGTTCTGGTGGCACTAACCAACTTGGCTGCAGGGAAGTCGTCTCTGAGTGGTTCAGTTGGGCGAGCGTTATCCCATAATTCATTCGGCCGGGGGTCGACAAATTGACGAGCTCCGCAACGCCAACGCAACGTCGAGGCCCAACCCGCACTGGCACGACGATGACACTTCAAGGTCCGCTTTCATCACAACCTCTGCCCATGATTAGCTTGCACCCTCCCTTCGACGCGGCCATTGATGCAGACCCAAAGGGTCTCAATGCGTTGTCGTCGGGCATCAGCAGTAACACCAAGGACACCAAGGAGCAGAAGCAAGTTGCCAGCCAGCATCTGTCCTCCACCGATTCCTGCCACGACGTCTGCCGTTTCAGAGCAAGCAGGTCTTGATCTTCGAGACTGACATGTCTCGTGCCAAGAGCCCAATCGATGTCCGACTTGCCCCGGCGCTCAAAGTGGCTGACAACCTGGTGGCCGAGAAATTGTCATGTCCAGACTGCCGGGCATTAATTGATAATCCGAGGAGAAGAAGAAAGCAACCAAATCACAATGGGGTGACCTGGAGAAACAGCTGATGATGCGCTTTCCGTCGACCTGCCATTCAATCTTCGTCTCGTCAGCCAAGGCAGGGGTGGTCCGGCGCTGTAGTACTATTCGTGGCTCATCAGGACAAGAAAGTCGTCCGTGAGTTAATAATATGTCAGTTTTGGTTCCATAGTGGCCATGTCGTGGGACTGGGACGTGCTTTTATCCAAAATGGGTCCCTTGCCTTGTAAGTAGACGAGCCCATGTAAACAAGGGCTTCGTTTGGGGAAGCGGTCAAGTCGTTTCGTCAATGACCTTTGACCACAGCCCGTTCTGCAGACTTTTCTTTTCATTTACCCTTTTTGCTTTTGGAAGACTTGCTGTATTTTGCATCTCGCATCACATACAATTTTGTTTTCTTCACCAATCCGTTGTTGTTTGGTGCTGACTCTTTGCGTTTGATTTGCCGTTGTCTTGTTCACGCCATCCGAATGTGGATTTCACCCGCATAATTATCTGTACGACTACGTATTGTTCCCCAATCCCGGAATAAGCCCAAGCACCTCCGATTCCACCCATCTGGCTGCCCATTAGACTGCATCGACCCGACAGCCCAATACAAAGCCGAATACGCTGTGACACCACTCAGTATTGTCTGTATGGCGGCCTCGATTGATATAAGCGCTGCCCAACCCACCCTCCAAGCAGAGCCTCTGCTTCCTGAGGCAGCGGAGGACCCAACGACAGTATGAGCTACCAACCAGATGTTGCCTATTGTCCCTTTAGGACAAATCTTGATATATCAAACGTACAATTCTCTAATTTCTCAAATGTGCAGTACACTCAGCCTCATGTATCGGACACTGAAGTAGAACCAGAGCCAGGAGAGGACCATGAAGGTACACCGCATATATTCGAGACGGAATATGCCGTGAATGGTCATATACCAATGAAATGGATTGAAGCTAACACGACGAAATAGATGATTTGCATTATGGCGAGGATCTAGTTGAAGATCGCCAGGGTGCAGAGGCGGCTGTATCATCAAATCCACCGGAGCTACAGAGAGAAGAAACTCCCAAATCTGACAAGAAGAACAAGAGGAAGGAGAAGAAAAATAAGAAAGATACCCCCGTGGAAACTACGAATAATGAAGATAATGAGAAATCCGTAACGACGTCACCTGGAGGCAAGAAAAACAAAAAGAAGAAGAGGGGTAAGAATAAAGGAACGGCGAACACACCACCTGCGGATAAGGAACCTGAGCCTGAAGCCAAGGCTGAGGAGGCCAAACCTCAGGAAGTGAAAGAGGAGGAGTCACCTGTGGCGCAAGCGGACTCGTCAGCTCCTGAACCGGTGAGGGAAGAGGCCAATCCTGAGATAGCGAAGGAGGAGACACCTGCGGTGGTCGAGGAACCGGCTGCTGCTTCCGAAGCTCCGGTGCCTGTGAGTGAAGAGTCTAAACCCGTGGAAGAGAAACAGGAGACAACTGTGGTCACTGAAGAACCGACTGCTCCTGCGGCAGCCCCTGAGGATTCAGTTCAGGAGAAGGCTCCGGAAGAGAGCCAACCTGCTGCTGAACCCGCAGCGGAACCTGAAGCCCTAACTCCCGAGGTCACACCCGAGGCTACAGCTGAACAAGCTGCGCCAGCGGTACGAACCGAACAAGAGGCAGCTCCCAAGGATTCTGAACCTGCCGCAGAAGCGGCCAAACCTGAAGAACCGGAGGAAGAGACGCCAGCGGCGGCAGGGGGATCACCAGCTCCTGAAGCTGGAACAGAAGCATCAGAACCTGGGGAAGCAAAGGAGAAGACAGATATGACGGCCGAAGAACCGGCATCCTCAAATATTGCCTCGGAGGCTCCGGCTGAGGAATCTCCTCCAGCAGCAGAAGCCCAGCCGGAAGCAGCTTCTGAGACGAAAGAGGGACCGGGCGATGAGGCTCCTGCCGAAGGGCCCGCTGAGGAGAAACCTACAGAAGTGAAGATGCCTGAGAGCACAGAGCCTGCCCCTGAAGAAGCACCTGTGGCCAATGCTGCTGAGGAGGAGAATCTTGATGCAAAACCAGCTGAGCAATCGACACCCGGGGCTGCCGCGGAAGACGCTGCAAAGGAAGATGCAGCTGCAGGCAGTGAGGAGGAGTCTATGAAGCCGGCAGAAGGATCAGCAGATCCTGAACCTGATGAAGCTGCTGCTCCGGAGGAGCCTGCTAAGCCTGTTGAAGCTGCGTCTACTGAACCGGCGGCTCAAAATGCAGCTCCAGAAGGAACGGTGGTTGAGACCCCAGCTGTCGAGGAGCCTACAAATGAACAATCTGCGGTTGAGAAGCCTACAGGGGAAACCGCATCAGAGCAAGCAGCTGCCCAAGAGCCTGCTGCCGAGCCGGTAACAGAGGCCGTGGCTGAGGACGACGCTTCGAAGGCCACCGGCGAAGATACAACTGCCGAAGAGGTCACAGACGAGGTGAAAGCAGTCACAGAGCCTGTACCAGTGGAAACGACTGCCGAAACCACCCCTACTGGAGACGAGGTTACGAAGGATTCGCCTCCCGAAGGCGCCCCTGTTGCAACAGAAGTAACATCGGAAGACAACCCTCCTTCCGGCCCAGCTTCTGCTGATGGGCCGACTGTTGATGCTGCGGAGGAGTCAGCAGCCCAGGAACCGGAGGGCAAGGTGACTTCAGCCGAAGAGTCGTCCCCGAATGTAGTGAAGGAAGAGGCCGAAGTAGAAGCGCCTGCTTCGACGGAGCCAGAAGCTCCAGCAGCAACCGAAGATGCAAAGGACACTGAAGCTTCACCAAGCGCTGACTCTGCACCAGTGAATATACCAATGGATGGACCAGCTCCAGAGTTAACTCCTGAAACTAAAGCAGATCCTCTAGTAGAGCCGGCAGAGGAAGAAAAGATATCTGACGAACCAGTAACAAAAGATGAGGTGGCCGGAGTAGCAGAGCCCGAAGCAGACCATGACGATAAGCAAGCTGAACCAGAGTCTGTCGAAACATCTCCAGATAAAGTTTCCGAACCCAAAAAGGAAGAAGATGCTGTGCAGGAGGCATCTCAAGCCGAATCAAAACCTGCAGAAGTCGAACCAGACGGTGCTAAGCCTGAGTCACAAGCCGAGCTTGGGTCTGACCGCGCGCATGCAGCCGAGGCAACCATAACTGAGGAGACCAAAGCTGAAGCTACTGCGACGGAAGCCAATGCAGATGATACCGTTAAGGAGGCAGAAAAGGCTGAAGAGTCAATAGAGGACCCAGTTCCCTCTAATGAAGGTAAAGAAGAGCCTGAACAGTCTCCGCCTGAGACTGCTGCTGCAGAGCCTGAGACAGAGAACCTTGAAATTGTAGAAGACAAGCCAGCCGAAGAGAGGGTTGGAGAGGCGGAAACTTCGGAGTCGGCAGACGTTGCGACAATTACAGAGCCACAAGGAGTTCCATCTGAGCCCACAACTAATGAGTCGAAGCCAGAGGAGCCTAGTGCCAACACTCCAGCCACAGAAGCCGCGGAAGAGGTAAAAGGAGAAGAAAATACGACTACCACCGAGCAACCCGTAGTTGAACCAGCAGCAGATCCAGTGAACGATGATAAAGCTGAGACAACTGAACAAAAGGCTGAAGAGGCATCACAGGAACAGCTTACTCCTGATGAGTTAAAATCCGACGAGGGTGCAACTGCGGAACCTAACGAGTCTGAAATTGCTGAAAAGGGAGCTACGGAATCTCCAACCTCCAAGCCTGACGACACAGAGGTGAAAGATGAAGACGCTCCCTCGGCCGAAGAAGGAACCGCAGAAGCCCCTGTAGAGGAATCGAAGGCTGTGGAGGCGGAGACGACTAGTAAGACTGAAGTGGCAGCTGAGGATCAAGTTGCAAGCTCTGAAGCTGAAGCTTCCCCTGCTGATGCCACCGCCGAACCTTCTACTAGTGAGACAGAAGCGGCCAAAGAGCCTGAGCCTGTTCCTGAGAAAGCCGAAGAGCAATTTGAAGTAGTTACGGAACCAGTTACTCAAGATAACGATGGAACTGCGGCCTCACCTCCTGAGTCTGAAACAAATCAAGGCGAACAAGCAGAAGACTCAAACGCGGATAAGGCTGAGACCAAAATGGATGAAGAGTCTGCTGCCATTGAAGGGCCTGCTGAAGTTGCCGCAGAAGATGCACCTTCAACCGAGAATCGTAATTCAGAGCCACAGGCTGAAGTTCCCAATGTTGAGCAGGTAGCATCACCTCCTGGAGAACCCGAAGCCCAAATTGAAGAAACAGGTGCCACAGAAATAGTCGATGGATCCGGGGACAAACCTAAGCCAGAAGAGCCAGAAGCAACTAAAGATGGTGATGGGGTTTCTGAGGCCCCAGCTCCAGCTGCCGAGACCGCGGAGCTGAAAGAAGTCGCAGCCGAAACGGAAATTAAAGAGTCGTCTGACACAGCCGCTGAAACTAACGATACCAACGATGACCCAGCTGCCGAAAAGCCTGAGCCTCTTACTGCACAGACGGCGGATACTGGAGAGGCGGCTCCGGTTGATGACAAGGTCGAACCCACAGATGAAGCCGAAGTCGCCCCTGCCACTGAGCCTGCTGTTCAGTCTCCCGATTCCGCGGAGGCAGAAGCCGAAGGCCCAGCTGAAGAAGCAACCGCAGCTGAACCTGAAGGGACAAGTGATGCAGCTGCTGTTGCAGTACAGGAGCAGGCGGAGCAGGCAGCTGAGGGCGAAGATTCAACCAAGGAACCCGAAGCCACTCCAGAGACTACCGCGGGGCCAGCAAATGATGACAAGGAAGCTGTTGCTGACACCACTGAGCCTCCTGCTATAACTACGGATGAGGACAATGCTGATGCAGATACTATGAAGGAGGCTAATGAGGCTTCAGAGCAAACCATCCCTGAAGCAGAAGCTGAAGAAACTGTTGCAGCGCCAGCTGATCCTGTTGATAACAGTGTGTCTGAACCACCGGCTCCTGCAGTATCAAATGAGGCTAAAGAGGTGGTAGAGGAACCTGCTGTTGATGGCACTACATCAGAAGTTAAACCCGATCCCAACATCGATGCCCCACAGGAAGTATTGACGAAAGAAGCTGAGGCTCCAGTAGATGTATCCGTTGCAGAAGCAGAGGCACCGAAAGAAGTTGTTCCTGCTGACATAGAACCTGTTGAAGAGAAGACGGATGATGTGTCTGCAACCGAGGAGGCGAAACCAGCTGATCAGCCTGAGGTGGCAGCTGAACAAGAAAAGGAAGCTGTCACAGTGGAAGCTGCTGGAGACGCCGTGCAAGACGAGGTAGCTCCTGAGAGCGCCACTGATACCGCAGAGCCAACTGCTGCCGCTCAGGATGTACAGGTTGAGCCCTGTGATCCTGCCGCAGAGACTGTAGAGCCAATCGAGTCCGAGGCTCAAGAGGAGCCTGTTCCCGCAGAAGAAGCCGCTGCCTTAGAGAAAGAGTCAGTCCCCGAAGCATCAGTTGAGCCTGTCGAAGGTGAAGCGAAAGGAGAACCTGAAGCACACTCCCAAGACACAGCCGATATTGCTGCTGCACAAGCGGTTGAGCCAGAGACAAAAGATGATGAATCCGGAGGTGCTGAGCCACCTACTGAAGTAGTGCAAGAGACTACCGCTGAACCTGAGGTTGCCAAGGAATCTGAGACTGTGACTACTGACGACGCAGAGACAGAAGAGGCTCCAGATGCTGACGAGACCAGGGCTCAAGTTGGCTCAAAGGACGAATCTGAGTCGGCGGCAGAGCCAGGAGCAGAAACTGAGGAACCAGCTGTTTCTGAAGATGCCATGGCAGAAGACGGCGCCTCTGAGGCTGTTGAAACTGCACCCCCCGAATCGGTTGCGGCTGCAGAGGGGGAAGCCAAGGCAGAGGAATCCGTCGCTGAAGTTGCAGAGCCTGAGGAACCTGAGCCTGCACCGGCGGTCGAAGTTGCTGAGGCCGAAGCGCCTGAACTAGCTCCCGAAGTCATAGAGTCCAAAGAGGAGGAGCCCGAGGTTACGGTTGCCGAGGAAGTTGAACCAGAGCCGGAGGCTGTCGAAGAGCCCAAGGAAGAGGCTCCAGCAGAAGAGACAGAAGAGGACCATTCTAAAGCTGCTGCCGCGGCCATTGTCGCTGGCATTGCTGCTGCAGCCGGTGGAGCTGCTCTTGTCGCCGCCGAACTGTCAAAAGATGAACCAAAGGCGCCCAAGACACCCGAGGAAGAAGAGAGTAAGGACACTGTTGGGCCGATTCCTAGAGATGGAAAGTTGACGCCCAAATCAAAGAAAGGTGAGGAACTGTATTCTTTTCATGATACCCCTAGTGATTTTTCGGAAGCTGTTGGATATACCAATTTGGAGGGAGCTAAGGAGAGGGATGATAATGGCGTTTTGGCGTTACCAGAGAAAGAAGAGATAAAGGAGTTGCGGCCGGCTACCGAGCAGGTTTCAGACGAGGCTGCTGAAGTCAAGTCCGAAATCTCGGAGCAAAAAGTGGAAGGAACAGTCGCTATAGTTTCGACTGGGGAGGGGGCCGCAACCGTTGTCCTTGAGTCTGTTGAGGATGCTTTGACCGCAAAGCCAAGTCTGCCAGTCGCAGGGACGCTCGACGAGGTGGAAACCGAGGAATCAGCCCCTGCTGCCAAAGAGGATCCCGTTTTGGAAAATACATCTGAGAACACGCAGCTGCCAGATACTGAAGCGCCTGAAGCCATTTCTGTTGGAGGACCAATGCCTACGACTGAGGAACAGAGTCTGACAAAGAGTGATGATCTTGCTTTGCCTCCGGCTGGTGAGGAAGAATCTGACCAGGTCGCAGAGTCCACTGTGCTGGATGATTTGAAGGAACAGTTAGCTGAACAACCAGCAACCAAGCCTGTTATCGAAGATGCCTCAGCAGAGCCTGCTACTAATACTGCAATTGAAGAGGCGGAAGTGTCAGTCAACAAGGAGTCCGCCTTGGCCATAACCAAAGAAGAAACACCCACCATTGCGGAAGACTTTGTTGTGCTGGATGACACCAAGAAAGACTTGCACCTCCAAAACGAAAAGGATAATGTGGCTGCCGATAATGCTATCCTTGAGCCTGTTCTGGCTGTATCTAGTGAAGGTTTAAGTTCTTCGGGCACACAAGAGCCAATCTTGGACGATCCAAATGAAGAGGTAGCACCAAAGGCTGCAGACGAACCGGAATCCATTGCAACTGAGGCATTAGATACTGCCGATGCGGCACCAATTGTCGTAGATGACACTACAACTGAAGTGTCCGTTTCGGTCCAAGTCAGTAAAGAAGTGGTCCCTGAAGCTGCCCGAGAATCTGCTTCATCTGCCGCCTCCACGGAGGAACTTCCACACGCCGGAGAACCCAATCTAGAGTCTACAGAGAAATCTAATACCACGGCTACTGACGCTGTCGCTACCGTCACTCTGGATTCTGAAGAACACAGTGCGTCAGCCGCTGCAGACTCGGTCTCGACCAGAGCCGTTGACTCTACAACTGCTGCAGTCATTGAAGAGCTAGTTCGTTCTGAGGCTTCTGAGGAAAGTCTACCCACAGAAGAATCTACTTTGGAGCCAATCAAGGAGCCTGACAATACAGCCGGGGATAGCGCTGCAGTCAATGTTGATGCTGATAGGCTCAACGTGGCAGCCACAGGAGTATCTGAGATGGCTTCGGACCAGGAATCAACGTCCACTGTTATTCAAGCCGTCACTGTGGATGATACGACAGAACCAGCAAAGCCAGAGTCTACTGAGCCTGTCCTAACTACGGACACTCAAGAATCATCTCCAGGCACAGAAGGGCTTGACCTCTCGGACGAGCCAAGGGAGAACCTGGTGGAAGAGTCAAATCTTCTGGACATTGAAGAAACTAAGTCGATCAACGTCACCAAGGATAAGGCACCCGTTCACGAGACTGTCGATGTAGACCTTTCGGTAGCGGACTTGGCTCAGGCGGCGCTGGAATCTGGTATTGTCTCGATCCGAGATGCAGATGTCCCAGCTAAGGTGCCTGATATGTTGACGCATACGGCCGAGGAGCCTTCTGTGACCAAGGCAGAGTCCATTTTGACTACAAAAGCTGAAATAGATTCTGTTGCTGAAGTCGCCGAAGAGCCCATCGCGTCACAAGTTCCAACTGCGGCGGCCACGATTGAGGCCGAGCCAACTATACTAGGAGAAGTCAGCGAGGAGCCCGACAATGCCTCACCTGTCCAAGCAGCTAATCAGAATGCTGTATTTGCAAGAGATGAATCTCGACTGATGTCAGATAAGTCAACGATATATCCAGTTGAGGACCAAGCGGCTGGAGGCAATGACCCTCAAGTGGGAATTTCTCAAGAGTCTGAGAACCTTGACCAGCATCAAGAGCTGGCCGCTGAAGCAGAGACCAAAGCAGAGTTTAAAGATGACAGTCCTGTCTTGATTGACAACAGCGGTGAAGTTCTGAATACCGATTCTGCAGGGCCTAAAACAACTGATGCCGGGAAACTTTCTGGAGACGATGAAGCTGTACTGAGCCAAGAACAGCCCTTATCAGAATCTTGGGCACTTGTTGAGGCCACCGAGGACTCAAAATTTAAGCCTGCGGAGAAAACCGTTGCAGAACAGGAAGTCCAAGAGCATTCCGCCCCAGAATCTAATAACAATGCAACTGTTGTCGTGTCGCAGGAGGTTCCAAACGATTCTGAGCCAACTAGACAAATGGACGTCGAGGTGCATGAAGCCAATGCTCCAAACGAACCGCTTCCCGACCCTGCTGTAGAGGCTGTCATTGAGAGCAAAGCACGTGTTTCTGGTCTGCTCGCTGAATCCTCAGTTGGTCCAATTGCTGAGGGTGAAGAAACTGAGGCAAGGGACCAGATGCTTGATCGTTCAGCAGAACAGTTGGTAGCAGCACTTGCGACAGAAACCCTCATCGCAGATGAAGCCATCGCCCCTGTCAATGTTACCGAGTCTCAATCGGTGCCAGAGACAAAATCAGCAGAGACAGAAGAGATCGACCTGACTGTAGAAGCTTCAAATGAGCAGTCCGGGAGTGAGATAGCATCTGAAATGGCTACCTCTTACCAAGCAGTTCCGGATGCTTTCGATCTCTCGCAGACTGAGCTAGGGGCTCGTGCCTCGCCAACCGAGGATATTGAGCAGAAAGCCCTAGCACAAACAGCTTTAGATCAAGGACCAGTGGTCGAGGCAGTTGCGGAGGCTCCTATTGAGATAACGTCGAGTCAGGAAGCAGCTGCTGCTGATTCTCAAGAACAGGTTCCTTGTCTTGATGATATCCGACCAGAGTCACTGCCTAAGGCAATTGAGGAAACCAATCCACAGGGAGTGTCAGCGCAAGTTCTTGGTGCCCAGCTTTCTGCCCAGCCAGGTGCTGAGGCGCCAGCCATTGAAGCACTCGCTGCTCCTGAAGCTATAATTGTTGATCCTCAAATCGAAACAAGCCTGGCTTCTGACGGGGCTGCTGAGACGACTGACGAAGCTGGGCAAAAGGACGACTTTGTCGAAATTGCGGCTGAGCAAAGTGTTGCCCTACAGCCAGAAAGCGCAATTGATGATGAGCACGGAGCATCTGTTGCTGTTGCTGATGACGATGAGGAGTTTGTCGATGCTTCTGAAGGAACCGATATCGCTCCCACTGAAGAAGCTAGATCTCCACCCATCGAAGCTTCGGAGAGCTGGCTTTCCCAGGAAGTCGTACTCGACGCCCCAGCTGAAGACATTGCGCTTCCTACTGAAACCCTAGCTGGAGAGCGTGAGGTGTCATCTCACGAGAAGACCATTTCAATCGACAGTCCGACTAAGGAATCTGACAGCCAAATTGCTGGGTTTACTTTGGCCTCTGCTGGTGTAGCGGCACTTACGGGGGCGGTGGCAGTCGCCGCAGTTGGAAAATTACATGACTCCAGGTCAACAGATGTTGTAGGCTTCACCGCCGAGCACGAAAAGTCTCTAGAATTTGCAAAAGCATCTGAAACACAGAAAAGCGGAGATTTGATCGAGGCTCAAGGAAAGTCAGCTGCTGCCTGTGAGAATCTAACCCCAGCAGCCGCAGAACTCGAAGCCGAACCGACGCAAAGTCCTGGCCTCACAATACGTGCAAGTGATGTTGATTTAAGAGCTCCCACACCTGCTGTGGTGGTCCCTGACATGGCAATGGTTGATCAGCAACGAAACAAGACTTTGAAGCGCAAGCAGAAGCTGGCGGTCCGGAACGCTGAGGATACAGTTGCGGCTGCGGTTGTCATTTATGCCACTGCTGAAGCTTTAAGCCCTCCTGCTAGCCCTAAGGCTGGTGTTATCTTCCAAGGCCATGAAGGGGAATTTCCCTCCGTTGTTTCACGGGAAATTGTTGAGGAGGACTCGCACCAGCTTGATACTGACTTATCTGCAGACGAAACTTCAAGAGATCCTCGAGCGTCAAGTGGCGAAAGGGAAAGGGAGAGGACTCGCCGCCGTAGGCAGCCTTCTCACCAGTCTAGCCGATCTAGCCGTAGTCGCGGCGACGAAGAGCACCGCGAGAGCAGACGCCAGTCATCCCATGGCTCGCACGGCTCACACAGTCGCCGACATCATGCTGATAGTACCGGAGAAGAAGCCGCAAAGACGCCGCCCAGAACTCCTAGGCGACGAGACAGCGGTGTCTCTGGAGAAAGCTCTGGAAGCTCTGGCAGACGACGAACACCAGAAGACAAAGCCGAGCACGAACGACGCAGAGCGGAGCGCCAACTTAGCGATCAAGACTCCGAACGTCGTGAACGATCGGAACCTTCTGAGCGCTCGGAACGCTCCACGCATAGAGATCGCAAGGGCAGCAGAGACGTGGAGCACCCTACGGAAAGAAGCCATCGCTCCTCGCGCCGGCATAGCCACTCTAGCCAGCACAAGTCTGATCGTATTCCTTCTGCTTCTGCTCCCGTCGAAAGGGAACCACTTACCCAGCCTTCTGACAAACGGTTTTTTGAAATCAAGAATAGTGAAGGAATAGTAGGCAGTGGCTTCCCCCCCACAATCGCAGGGGAGACCACGGTCGAAGTTGAAATCGAAGTTGAAGCCCCTAGGGCAACAGAGGCTCCCAAGAGATCCAACACGACGCGATCCAAATACGGTTTCGGACGCCTCTCTACCGATCAGTCTCGCCCTAAGACTACAAAGACGCGAGAGTCGGCTGACGTTCCTCGAGGTTCTTCATCGAAGGGCAGCATTACAACTTCCGAAGATAACGCCAGACGGGCTAGAAAGACTGAGCGTAGCAAGAAGGAAGAAGAGAAGAAGCCTTCTGGGTTCAAAGGTGTGTTGAAGAGGATATTTGGATAATTGTTTTTTTTTTTTTCCACTTTGTGGACAATCACGATGTATGATGTGTACGAGTCAATGACCCACGAGTTTGTGAGATTGAGTTATTGTCAACTTTAGGGTTATATGCTTAATGTTAAGGATATGATAGCAATGAAATTGAGGTGTGTTTCTGAAGTTTTGCTACCTAAGAAGTGATCTCGGAGAGGAGAGACAATGGTATGAATCAGGACTGCTCGAGCCTAAATTCTGAAACCGCGCTGTTACCTATATATCCATGATTTTTTTTGTCTCAACAGCATCCCCTTGGATTCTCAGTTTTATATATTGGCCAACTTACTCATCATACCTTTTGATCACCTCTGCTCGTCACGTCGACGTCGACATTTACCTGCCATGACCACTTGGACCCTGCGACTATTCGGCAAGTTAGTCACGTGAGCATTTGCGGGTCAACAAGTTGCGATAACTCTTATCGCCCCACAATTTCGCACAGCGGAGCCCTAATTTCGTGCCATTTTGTCACTCACACCAAATTTTCAGGCTGTTGCAGCACCAATTGGGGGTCATCTAGCAAAGTGGGTTATCATCTTTTTCCCTCTCCTCCATTCAACCACACCACGCAAATTTACAAAGGCGCAGGATTCGACCTCTTTGCGTTCTTCCTAACAAAAGCTCACTCAATCCTTTGAAAAATGGCTCCTCAGACAGTATGTACATTACAAACCGCTTTGCTGTTTGGCGCAATACCACCCATCGGTCGATGAATCTCTCGTCTCCGTCGTTGCTGGCGCCCAGTCAACACCATCAATTGTGTGAAAACGCTGTCGAGGTTGCAACTTGATGGGCGGGCAACGATGGGTATAGACAGACAAGATCCATTGTCTTCGGGCGGCTTTGAATTATTTTGCGCCGTGAAATGTGCAGTAGGCTAAGTCGTCATCGTCTTGATAGAAGAAGTCGGGCAAGGCCCAGAAGCAGACCAAGAAGGCAAGTTTGTCGCACCCGGGACATTATGACTCTGTGTGGCAAGGTTCGCGTGCTAACGGGGGGTCGACAGTTCATCATCAACGCTCAGCAGCCTGCTAGCGACAAGATCTTCGACATCTCCGCCTTCGAGAAGTTCCTCCAGGACACCATCAAGGTCGAGGGCCGCACCAACAACCTGGGCGACAATGTTATTGTTCAGCAGCAGGGCGAGGGCAAGATCGAGGTCATTGCCCACAATGAGCTGTCTGGTCGCTACCTCAAGTACCTGTATGTGCCGGGTGTTGCAAATGAGCAGTTGGAGACACCGTATCTTGTAGGACGGACGTGCTAATCGATCATTTTCACAGGACCAAGAAGTTCCTCAAGAAGCAGCAGCTCCGTGACTGGCTCCGTGTCGTGTCCACCTCCCGCGGTGTTTACGAGCTCAAGTTCTTCAACGTCGTCAACGACGAGGCTGACGAGGACGACGAGTAAATTAGGTCCGCTTCGCTGCGTCTCTAACGATTACTTGACGAGTCTTGCCAGCAACGAGAAATGGATTTTCGGTGACGATTGGGGAATCTGGGTATGGGTCTGAGATGATACTTCAAGGATTGCTGTGCGACACATGATACCTCCAATATAACCGGCCATTTTGAGTGATGCTATCACTTTGATTTTCGAAAGAGGAAAAAGAAAACTGTGAATATGATGTATCCTTTCAAGTAGTCTATGTCTTGCCATGCAGTAGCGTCATTAGTTTATGCCACCTCGTCGGGTATATACAACACTCGTCCACAACGCCATCTTACAATGCAGTCATCGAGCCTTCAGGGCAGCGACCTCATAACCCCCTCAAATGCCAACAGCGCCATGGCATTCGCCGGAAACGCCCTCAAGAAGCACGGCAAAAACCCTCTCCAGTACCCCCTCCACCCACTCTCCCTGTAAACAGCCACTGCGGCATTCTTCCATCTGGGGAACCTCCTCTCCCCGTCTCCCAAGCCTCCTCCCAGCGGATCTGTCATGATCCTCTGCTTGACCAAATCACTCGGGTAGCTGGTCAGCCAGAACATCTGCGCGCTCAGACCACCCGCCCAGAAGTTGATGGCTGGGGCGCTGATATTCGTCTTTTGCCTCATCCATCTCGAAATCACATCGTAGCTGCCCCACCAGAAGAAGAACATGCTTCGAAAAATAATGGTGGCGCACAATCCGTGGTAGACACCGCGTACGCCGTGGTGGGTGTAAATCTTGCGCAAGCAATCTATGGGACCAGAGTACATGCGCTCCGACTTGTTGGCGGCATATTGAATCTGCAGACGGGCCTTGACGTGTTCGACTGGTGCGGCGATGAAGCTCACGGTCGTGCCGGCAAAGATGCCCGCGATGCCGTGGCCCAGCGGCGGGAGGTACGTTGGTGATGATGATGATGATGATGAGGTTGGAGAGGATTTGAGCCCGTCAAGGAGGGTGGTGAATCCGAGGCCAGCACCGTCTCCGGCGCCCGGTGTCCATGATGATGCGTGGAAGATATTCTCGGCCAGTAGGCGGCGGTAGACGGTCAAGGAGCCGAGCATGATGGAGTCCATGAACATCCAGCCGACGAGGGGCGGTGTTGCGCCCTTGTAGAGGCCGCGGATGCCTTCATTCTTGACGGTTTGCGTGACGCATTGGAGGGGCCCGCTGAACCGGCCTTTTTCGGTTGTTTGCAGGCGGACTTTGATGGTGTCAAAGGGGTGGCCGACTGGTATTCAGGTCAGTTTGATGATTGAGGACTGCGGTGAGATGGGATAGGGGCGCGTTGGCTTCTCACCCGTCAGCTTTGCGATGCCGCTAAACACGCCCGCCACAAAGCCCTTGTAGTCCCGTCGCGACGATGGTTTCGTCGTTGTGGGAGGCGCATCTTCCGCCTTCATCTGCGCATCTAGTGCCGGCGAGGCCATGGTGACAACCTCGGAAGGCAGCCGGCTCTGACCGGTGTTTGTCAGGCACAGAGGCGATGGCGGGGTATCTTGTCCACGATGGCAGAGGGTAAGGGTTGGAGGCCAACTCAAAAAGCCATCAAGTGAGATGCCGAAAAGGTTATGATTTTAGTGTCCGGTAAGAAACAACTGCCAATCGTTGGGTCAAATTGTTTGAAGGAAGGTACAGAACATGCTTAGCATGAGGAGCAAGCGACTGCGACTCCAGGAAAGTTTTGGTGGAGACTCAAACAATGACTGCGGAACCGGAGCTTTCGAACAGCGGACTCTTGATTCTTGCTTGACACAGCAGAGATCCAGACTCACCACACATCACACATCAAACAACTTGAAACGGTCATGACTGGATGCATCACGGGCCCAGTCATACTGCGCGTTGCACGAGTAGCCTTGGAGATGCCGCAATGTTGTTTCCACACAAAAAACTGCTTCCCCATCTACCTGGCTTGGAGGTTGCTGCATGTTCAACTTTGCAAGATGGGCACCAGCAATGGATTCGGAGAATCGATTTTTGTCAGTCGTCAATCATTTTCAATAGCATGACGTTTGCTCTGCAACATGTTGGATCCTTGAAATACGACGCCCACGACCATGCGCAGTTCTGTGCAGGCTCTCTTTTCTCGCGACCCCAGAGGTCTAAGATTCGAGGATGGCTTCACCAATCCAGTTGATATCTAGTCCCCTGGGATTCCAGGATTCCGATGGCGGTGAGTTGAGCAAAGAGATGTAACTAGGTCGATCTGGCGATCCTAACAAAGCAGGAAACTGGCAGCATGTTACGGTACAGTTCTGTCTGCCCGGGTATATTAGAGACGCAGACAATGAGTACGATTGCAATATTCATCTGGGGGCCACGGATTTAAGGCCATGCAACGCCTTCTGCTACACCAAGTTGGCGGTAAAATTGAAACATCGTTTCCGGCTTGTGGCCATCATGTCCCGCATTAGGTCACACACACAACTGTCATCCCCGCTGTCGTGCCATCTGAGCGAATTCCACTGTCTCTCTGGCCCTCTTCCTGATCGTATACTCTCGACTTACCCGGCTCGAGCATCGCGTTTGGGCACCCATCCGTCTCGGGATCTGGCTTGTGGCTGGTATATGTTCCGAGCAGCCTGTGGAAATGCTTCGTTGAGGGATTGCCCTTCACGATTTTCTATGGTAAAATGCGACGTTTCACTTCATCCAAATCTCCTGGGGAGTGCCATAACAGCAGTGTGTTTATGGTAAGAAGAGATCATGGAAATCTAGGCACATTCCAGGGTGTTTGTTGAAGCGAGCGGCGGCTATGTCTTTGGCCACCTCAATCATGCTTAAAGATTGATGGAGCCATTACTTTCGCTCTCAAATGAACAGTTGACAGTCTCCTAGGACCTCAATCGATATCAATTTTCTGCCCGTGCATGGGGGAGCTGTGGCCACATTTCGATTCGCCAACTTCAAAACCTCTGCTTAGCAAATAGTACATCAAGGGCCGAGTGAGGAATTTCTACGAAATAGTCCAAGGGCCTAGTATTCCAGGGATCTTGTGGTGCATCTATCCGTTCCCGATGACCAGCAGCTCCTCAGCAACGCAAGCAGCGGCTGCAAGGATCCCAGTCAATCAGTGATCATCGCTCGTGTTCCGCCACATCAACAAGCAGGTGCAGTTCCAAGCAGCCATTACTGCCACACCTTCTCCACCACCATCTTCAACTCCACCTCCAACTGGCAAACAAGCTTTGCAAAGACTGGAGAAGGATAAACAACGTGTTGGTTGCATGAGTTGTCAGGGGCGCCCTTTTTGGGCTGTTTTCGGATTGTACTTACGCTCTTTGATCTGCGACAGCCAGCATGCTTCTCGCCCTCCCTGGACACGCGTCATAAAGAATGGGTCGGGTCTCCTTTCAAGCCTTGTTTTGCGACTTGGTGTCCGTCTTGGCCATCTCTTGGCTTTTTGGACTTGACAACTTCATCGATGTTGCGACCGTTTGCTTTGAAAGACACTACGGCGCGCTGGCTTGTTGTAAATGTTCCGTAAACGACTTGTCGTCACTTGTTTGGTCTTGACGTCTCTGTTTCTCTCTCTTTCCTTTTAATGAAAAAATCGTTCAAAATCGGTCATTGTCACCATGAAGTTGTCATCGTCTTCTTGGACACTGCTGGCCGCTGGCCGCCTGAGTGCTGCAGCGTCCGTCTTTTCGCTCGACTCTGATGGTGCGTTGCTGTACACACGCAACGCCAGCATGGCACCCGAATAAAAAAATAAAGAAACGAAACAACTGACCGGCGCTTGCAGATGCAATTAAAGAGTCGGCCAGCATACTGGCCTGGGACATGCTTCAACATTATCACGGCAACGAATCCGGAGGCACGCCCGGAATTCTCCCCGGACCGCCGCCGGCCGGCGACTATTACTGGTGGGAAGGCGGAGCCATGTGGGGCACCCTCATCCAGTACTGGGCTTTCACCGGCGACTCGACTTACAACGACAACATCATGCAGGCCATGCAGTTCCAGGTCGGAGAGGGCCAGGACTACATGCCGCGCAATGTGACGGCCTCCCTGGGGAACGATGACCAGGCCTTCTGGGGCATGGCCGCCATGCTAGCCGCAGAGATTAAGTTCCCCGACCCCCCAGCCGACCGGCCCGGATGGCTTGGCCTTGCGCAGGCCGTCTTTAACACGCAGGCGAGCCCTCAGCGACACGACGGCACATGTGGCGGAGGGCTTCGATGGCAGATCCCCTTCACCAACAATGGTTACGGCTATAAAAACAGTGAGTTTTTCTGGAACTGATAATTCTTGCACGGCTAACTCTTCTCTCAGGCATCGCTAATGGCTGCTTCTTCAACATGGCGGCCAGGCTTGCCCGCTACACAGGAGACGCCAAATATTCTGACTGGGCCGAAAAGACTTGGGACTGGGTCGAGAAAATCGGCTTCATCGACCCTCAGAACTATGCCATCTATGACGGGGCCAACGTTGCCAATCAGTGCAAGGACATCAACAAAGTCCAGTACTCGTACAACAACGCCATTTTCGCCGAGGGCGCGGCGTTTATGTATAACATTGCAAGTCTCTCCCTCTATTAAGTGCTTTCGCCTTGCGTGTTCCTGATTGTGCAAAGCGACGGCTAACACCTCGAATTCCCACGGCTCAGACAAACGGCGACCAAAAGTGGAAAGACAGAGTCGACAAGCTCATCAACTACGGCCTCAAGACCTTTTTCCCCCATGACGTCGCTGTCGAAATTTCATGTGAGCTCAACGACGGCTGTAAAACAGACATGTTCACGTACAAGGGCTTTGTGCACCGCTGGTATGCAACAACCACGCAAATTGCGCCTTTTACGGCAGAGCGCATCCTCCCCGTGCTCCAGAAGTCGGCACAAGCCGCGGTCACACAGTGTACAGGCGGTGCCAACGGCCGGCAGTGCGGTCTGAAATGGGCAGACGGAAAGTATGACGGCAAAACGGGGGCTGGGCAAGAGATGAGTGTGTTGGCAGCCGTGCAGAGTTTGCTGATTGGCAAGGCGAGGCCGCCTGTGACCCATGATTCGGGTGGTACGAGTACGGGCAACACGGATGGTGGTCAAGGTGATGGGTCGGTGATGCCGAATCAGAAGCCTGTCACGGCGGGTGATAAGGTCGGTGCCAGCATTGTTACGATTTTATTGCTCGGAGGAGCGTGTGGCATGTTTGGGTGGATGAGCTACGAGGCGTCTGGGCGTTGATGTTGGAAACTGGGTTGGCCTTTTTTCGTGACTGTTTTGGTTTTCCAACAATGTTGTGTATCTGAGAAGTAGACGCCTTTGTATAATGTGCAGCGGTGGACAAAAGTATATATACAGGTGTAGGATTTTAGAAATGATTATCGCCAACGGTGGGCGAGACTTCTCAATTCGTAGTTTGGAGTTGGCCGTTTGACGGGAATATTGTTCATGCCATGTTGATAAAATCGGGGCAATATCACGAAAAAGAACGCGCTCTAATCGAATAGCAATTATACCCCCTTATATTCTGTTGACAGGCAAAAACTGTATTTTGGCATACACTTCAAGAAATTCGACTGCCTGGATCCATTTTCTGTCTCACAGCGTTAAGATGCCTCAGGTGCTATCAAGATATTCAGCCTCCCAAGTTCTTCAACAAGCGCTCAAGTACGTTGCGAGCATTCCTTTATCCAATGAGAGCGCCGTGGTGCTATCCGCATATACTGGCCGCTAAACTGATTGGTCCCTTGGTTGTAGTTGCATGGAAGTTGGAGCGCATCCCAATCCCTGCTGAAGAGCTGTCCAGCGAGCCAGTCTGATGCCTGTCGAGGAGCGTGTAACAGTGACGGAGGAGGCTGACTGAAGGCCTTGCCAGTTGCTTCTGTTTGCATCGATGACTGCCGCAGTATAGTCAGTGGACTTGTTACTTTAGGGCCAACACTGTAGCACTGTTTACCAAGAAAAAAAACACGATCAATACGTTAATGGAGAGGCTAATATGTAAAGACTCATCACAAGTTGCAACGGGAAGAACTTGGTTCGATGACACGACATGTAAATTTTTCGGACCAGCGCTCTTCATTTCCCAGTTTTTAAGCCAATGGGGCCTTGTTGTGCATGGAACAAAGCGTGGTAGGTATCCGCGGCTAGGTTGATCCCGGACGACTTGTACTCGCCATGAGCTCGTTTCATAAGCTCCTCCTTGCACTAGTATTGTTTCCGTCACTGATTGACACAGCCTGGGGCAAAACACATTTGATTATTACCAAGTATATACCAACATCCCGTGGCGTATTGTGTTATAGAGCGCGACGGCTAGGTGCTTCCGTTTGACGCCTGTTGTCTCGGCCTAAATGAGCGGTAGACATCAACAAAGTCCTGTCAAGGAACTTGGTCTTTCTTCCCCAGGGACATTTACGCCATCTGCAGGATCAATTGTATTTGCTTCAGAGACGTTCAGTGTACCGTCCTTGTCTTCCCCCCCGCGGTTGATGGCCGGCGCAGAGGGGATGCGGGGACCCACACGGTCGGCTCCCGGTCCGGAGACCCGCATATCCGGCAAGCATGTGACGGATCGGGCAATTCCATCGGCTCTGGTCAAACCTTGTCGCCACTACGCAAAAACCCAGGGGAAAATGTGTGTCCCGCAACTTGAGTGTCTTCCCATGGCCGAGCCTGTGTAGCCGCCCTTTGCCCTGCCCGACCAACGACATGACTGCAATTTCACCCGTGAACTTTGCGGGGTTCCCCGTGGTTGCTACCCAAATCGAGACAAGAGACAACTCAACCTGTACAAGATTGGTCGAGAGTGCCTGATATCGCAACTATTGGCTCCCACGGCGACGCATGTTGGTGCGCCGCATGCATTTAGGCAGACTGGCCAAGCGGGGTATTAAAGCGCCGCTGAAGGACCAACAGACCGCCTCACTTTTTCTCTTCTCACAGAACCGTGGCCCTCGGAAGAAGACAAACTTCATTTTCCTCTTGTCCTAGATTTGAGAAACAGAAAAAAAAGCAACCTCTCCCACCACTCTCCACAATGGAAGAGCTACGCTGCGCTGCCGTCGTTTCGAACCTCGAAGGCATCAGGGGCATCTCCTTTTGGGTGGAAGATGTTGCAAAGCTCGCAACCCTGCCGGGTCTGGACAGGCGAGTCGGACGCCTCGAGGCCGCCGCGGGCATAACCCCCCCGCCGCCCGTTACCGAGCCGTCGTGGAACGGACTCGTCTGGCGCATATGGCGACTTCGAAACAGGATGCCCAAGGACGCCATCAAGGAGTTTGAGGCGGGAGCCTCTGTGGCCGGGGCGGACTTCAAGTCCATGATGCCAGACGCCTCGGGGATTTCGCTCCAAGACGTCCAAAACGCACTCGACAGCGTCAGAATCCACGGGGGGTGTCCGCCGCTCGCCCCCGAGGTCGACAATGACGACCTGCGGCTCAGCTACAGCCTGCAGCGGCTCTGTCACATGGCTGGCAGGAAGAACTTGTACCTCGGCGCCGTCCCCGTCGGCCTCGTCGACGTCTACGTTCTCGCCGTCCGCCTCTCGCTGCATGCAGAGGTCGACGGCCACACGACGGCGACGCGGCCCCCCGGGTCGTGGCCTCGGTTCTCGCCGCTTCCTGCGCGCCCGCCGGCGAAGCCTTGCGGCGACTGCTGGGGCTGCTACTGCCACAGCAACGTGGTGCCCGTGCCGCCGCGGCAGAGGCGGCGCTGGAACAGGAGGAGCTCCTCGGCGTCGTCTGCTTCCGAGACGAGTGTGCCGAGGAAGCGGCTCGGGTGGCTGGCAAGACTGTGCTTTTGGAGGAAGAGGTCGGTGAGCGACTACGAGTCCATTACTTCACGCGGTTCCAGCACGATTGTTGACTAGGGCTGTTTCGTCGGGGGTCTTTTTCCCACGGCACGCTGGCTGAAGATGGCTTTGTTCATGAGGCTTCACGCTGCTTTGGCTTTGTCCATGGCTGCTTTGCATGCTGTGTTCCTCGTCTCGTATCAAGTAGTTGGCGATTACAATGACTGCGCCCTGATTCTTGACAAACGCCCGTCTATAGTTAGTTGACATGTTGAGCAAGGGGCACCACTGGATTCGCCGTTTCTGCCTCGCATCACCATGATTGAGAAGAAGATAAATAAAAGCAAGCTTACTGATCTGCATTCTCCTTGCAATTTACAACTCAGCAGTCTCTTTTCTTCGTTCCGAGTCCATCATGACAAGTGGCAGCCATGTCCCCGTTTCTACTGGGCCGTGTTCCGACCCAGCATAAACTCATCTGAGTCATCTCTCAACCTACTCCAGCTGAAGAAAAGTAGTCTCTGTTGTACAGTCTCAGGCATCTGAATCGCAAAATGAAAGTTTTACTAAAAAGCAAATATATTTGGTAGGCAGACTTCCAGCATTCGGCGCCTAAAATCCAGAAATAGATGTCAACTACGAAGAGGGCCTACCCTCTACAGCAAATTCCCCCACGTGTGCCATATTCCACACACAACCACGCACACGCTTCCGAAGCTTGAATTCCCTACAGGCCGCCAGCCTTGCAAGCCTTTGTGGCAGTGGGCACAAACTTGTTGTAGCGGTCGGGGTAAGCAGAGCGCTGGACGCGCTGGCAGAGGGCGCCAACAGCCATGGTCTGCCAGCCCTTGACGCGCCTCATCTCGGCGAAGAACTGGCCCGCGGAGCAAGCCGCGTCCATGTCGCACTGGACATTCTTGTAGATGGAGGCGCGCTGCTGGAAGAGGCCGACGCTGTCGTGGTCGGAGCCGACGCGGTCGTGTGGCAGCTTCATAGAGGCGGGAACAGCCTTGTTGGCGTACATGACGAGGCTGGACTATATTCCACAAAAGACGGCAATTAGCAAAAAAGGCCAGCTCGACGGTTGACGCAGCAAGGGCCTACGTACCTCGGTGAGAGCGGTGGCAATACCAGCCTGGCATCCGTGAGCGCCAACCATGTCCGTCTTGGCCTGGGCGATGATGCCACGGGCGTACTTGGACTGGAGGGCGTCGAGGCCGGGCAGGTTGTCGCGGGCTTCCAGTCCGCCTTGGACGCGGTCGATTGCAAGGCCAGCCTCGCCGACGTCGACATTGCCCACGTTGGCGACGTGGTCAACCGCCTCGGCAGGTAGGGCCCGGGCAGAGGTGGCGCCGAGGGCCACGTAGAAGAGTACAGTAGACGCCTTCATGTTGTAGTCTGGAAGCGAAAATGAGTATCAAGTGTTTTGCAAGTTTGGATTGTGTTTGTTCCCATGTGTTTTGCTGTGTCGTGTAGGAAAGACCAAAAAGATGGACTTGAGTAGGATCAAGCAGGCAACTTATACACCCAGTCGTTGGCTTCATAAGCCCGTAGGCACAGCATCTTGTTCACCACGGTAGCGTTCAAGGTGTCGGAAGCTGAATTTGGCCAGGAAAAGCCCCAATGTAGCCAGGGATGCTAAACGTATGCTTCGTACAAAGTTGACCCGAGCATCAGAGTCCTGGTATACCGATGGCCCGACCATGACACTCGGCGAAGCACCGAGATCCAATCTTTTCCCCAGACGCAGACATGATGATAGCCATTGGCGTAATCACTAGCACCAAGTTTGGTCATGATCAAAACGGAAAGGGTGCAAAATGAATAGGGAGAGTTGGCCTTCAGCAGGATGCCCAAAACGATCTACACACATCTCATACTTGAGCCCTGGGTTAGCTAGCCTGGTGCCAACTGTAACTTCAGCGCTGTATGTATGCTTATTCTGATCAGAATGATCCATAAGATGCTGGCCCCCCCGTACCTGGTAGGCTTTTGGCCGAACCGGTTGCCGTATGCGGCGGTTCACGGTGACGATCCCTGCTTCAGCCCTTCAGCCCAACACGCGCTCGAGGTCCACCATAGAGCCCGGCAGATGGCCGTCTTCCTGGCAGCCTCGACGTCTGGTTGCAACGGGAGCGGGCGGTCCATGCGAATAAGCACGCTGAAGGAATCGGCACGAGATTCCACCGCCTTGGAGCCGTTGGTCGAGAAAATCGCATTGCACTCCATTTCTGGACCTGAATACCCATCATGATGATGATAAGCGACGGATTTGAATCATGTTTGCCACTCAGCTAGCGAAATGACGGGCCACAAAAGCGGCCGCATTGATGGCTCGCTTCAACTTGCGATAGGTCGGTAGTCTAGAGAGTACATTGGAACATCACTTCAGCTCATCCATCGTCTGAATCGTGCTGCTATTTTTAGCACGAAATATCTCCGACGTCACTGGGCAGCCCAGTGCTTCCCGGTTCGCGCGGGAATCGCCGAGTACGACGAGCACAAGGTGCCGGACCGAGACAGAACTGGCTTCTTGCTACCCACCATCACGATATTTTGCACACAGAACTGGCATTGCAGCCAGAAAAGTCAAATCAAATGGTAGACCAAATCAACTTCATTAGCTTTCCACTGGGAAAATAGGCTATACCTAGGGTTCGATACCAACACCGTCGATACAGTTCCATCTCAATACCAAAAGGCCGGCATTGATGCTCAGATCTAAATGCCAAAATAAAAAATCAGATAGTAATAAATAAGTAGTCGTCATTTCGTCATGAAAACACAAGGCGTAGATAACGCTCCTGGATAATAAAAACATAGATGAACAGGAGATCAGGCTTCCTCTTTTTCCCCTGGAACTCTGGCCCAGGCTCCCTCCATGGCCACATATATGCTGATGCCTGGGTTGATTGTTTGCTTGTGCATGTTGTGTCTTTTCTTTCCCTTCGTTTTCTTCCTCCCCCATCAGGGGCTGTGCCACGTCATTCCAGTTGCATTTTTGATAGCACAACTTGTCCCCGGTCACTCCCCTTTGGCTAGTTTTGGCTATACCGAAATGCCAAGATGACGTGTAGCCGAAAAAAATGAGCGTCCAATTGGCGCGACATGCGCCTCAGAAGGTGTCTGTATCTTCACTAGCTACAGTTCCAAATGTATCTGGAAAAAAGAAGAAAACATTAGTCATCATTTCCACGTGTATTAAATATCCTGTTCAAGCGGTACCTCTCTTTCGTCGTCTTTCTTCTCTTGCTGCCTCTTCTTCAGGGCTCTTTGGTGTCATGGCTCGTGGCCCACTAGGTCGTCGACTGGGAACGCCAAGAGCAGCGTTCAGATTCCTGTTCTCCAACTTGGGGCTACTTCCAGAGTAGTGGCTGAGATATGTCGCCGTCATCGTACCGTACCCGCTCTCGGAACTCTGCTGGGGAGCCGGACTGCCCTCCTTCTGTATTTTGGATAGTCGACTGGACTTGGGCGGCGTCTGTGAGCCAGGAGAGTCAATTGGCTCCTTGGGAGGGCGAGGCGGTCCGGGCTGCTGGCCGGGCGATGAGAAGTAGTCAGCCTCGGGGCCTGGGACAGACGAGTTGTTGCTGTATCTGTTGGTGTTTGGAGGCAATCGGTTAAGACTGGTTGCTGAACCAGCCCACTCAGTAGATCTTGGTGTCATGGGGTTGTTGTACTCCTGCGCTGAAGACTCCAAAGCAGTCCGGAATCTCTCTGTTTGACCAGGTCGTGGCTGGGGATGCTGCAAGTTCAGCGAGTTCCGATGTGCCTTGTACTTGGGATCCTCGGGCGTCATGTATGAAGTCGGCGGTGGACCTTGTGAGTTGCGACGCTCGCCTCGAATTCCCTGAAGGTTTGGATCCGAGAACCCCGAGTGCAGTTTGTCTTGGCCATATGGGTCATGGCTGTACATGTGGTCATCGTCGTATGACGCAAGACTGGATCCAGACCGGGAGGGAGGTTGGATATCATCGTATTTTGGTCCCTTCTTGGAGGAGCCACTGCCACGGAAAGCCTTTCCAACACTTGAAGCCGTTGTTCCTGACCATCGCGAAATCTTTGGCAACCACCCGCTAGAGCTGCTGGACTTGTGTTTCTTGCCCTTGTCGGTTCGTGGTGTGTTCTCGGCGCTGAGGGGTTGAGGATCTGCAGCAGGCGCCAGTCGTGGCGGAGTATCTAGAGGAACCGAACCCCCACGCTGAATGTGTTCTGCTTGCGTTGGGGTCTGAAGATACCCACCGCCAGATCTCTCTGCACTTGGGCTGGGATGGTCGTACTGGTACTCATCTTCATTTTCAGGCACAGTACTGATTCTATGCTCAGAGAACTTTCGCTCAACGCCGCCAGCCACTTGGCCACGCGGCTGTGATGCGGATGCCGCTTGCGACTGGGTGGCAGGCGTAGGTGTCGAAATGCCTTCCGGCTCATAGCCCTTGTCTTGTTCAAACTGGTCCTCGGCTCGGAGATTTTCATGTGATTGGCCTGGTCCCCCAGTCGAAACTGCTGGTGCTGTCTGCGTCTTGAGTACATCGACTTCGCCGAGAAGCTGCATAAGCATATCTTCAATGCGGGTTAGGTCGTTGGTACCCTTGGTACTAAGGCCTTGCAAAGCCCGCTTCCAGAGATTCTTCTTCTTGACAGCAGCCTCATCAAACGTGCCAGCCTGCGACGCGCTTTGCAGGGAGCGGGAGGCTGCACCCGGATATGGCCTCGGCCCGTTGATGGCCTTTTGCAGCTTTTCTGTGTTTTCCACATTGGCGAAGATCACATCATCCCCGGTGTCTTGTACAAGTTCTTTCATTTCACGGAAGGAGTTGCGCATCTCGAGAGCAGCATTCATGAGCAATGCAACAATTTCTGTATCCCGGGCGCTTCGTTGCGCGTCACGCACCATCAACTATGCAATGTCAGTTAAGCAAAATCCTGTGGCATTATATGGCCCCGTTGCTGGGCGTGGCTGGGTAACTTACGTGTTGCATCAAGGCTACAATGTCTTTATTTTCGATGCGTTCTATACCCGCACCTGTTGCGGCGTCGTAAAATGGCGAGCCCATGCCTTGGGACATGCCGCTCATGTGCCGGGCATGAGATTTTGGCACATAAAAGGGATCGTCGTCAGCTACAGCACCATCAAAATCGACCGCCTTGCCCTTCGCCTGTGGATCAGGGGTCCGGTTCGGACCGTTTGACATGTAGCCCTCATCGTACTTTTGACCAAAACCAGGGCTGCCTGTGTTGAACGGGGCTTCGAGTCCTCTGCTGAGCAACTTGTCATTGAGCTCAGGATTCACAATAGGGCTCGCATCTTCATATGGATTGGTAAGCAGAGTGTCCCGTTTGCGCTCGTCAGATGTGCGGTGCCATTCATCCTGGTCTTGGCTCGCTTCATTGCTGGGGGTGGCAGCCATGCCTGCGGCAGCCCCCAATGCAGCAGCTCCAATGGCCTCAGCAACTCCAAGCCCCCCTCCTTTAGCTTCCTTGCCCTTGGCCTCCGGAGCGTATCCGCTCATATCTCGTTGTGTTGGTGTTGCCCTACCAGACCAGTCCTTATGGACGGGCTCGCCATCGAGACGCTCTTCGACCAAAGAGGGATTGGTCTGCAGATCATCGTCGACATATCCAATCTCTGGCATAGGATTATCCATGTCAGGCAGACCACTGGCACCTAGCTTGGGTTGTTCTTCGAGGTCCAGTCTGTCAATGCTGTGAGTTGGAGTGTTACGTGGCTCCCAACCATGGTGCATGGTTCTCTCTTTAAAGGACCTATTTCGAGCCACACCCGCGGGCTGGAAGTCGTCCACGGACTGCCCTGAGGTTACTGCTTGCTTCCTCTCCTTTGCAGCTTTCAACGCTGCTGCTGCTGCACCAACTGCGCCAGCTGTGATGGCGGCTTCCGATGCAGTCGGCGAGTGTCGATACTTGGTTCGAGGTACTTTCCTCCCATATTCATCAACATCATACTCTGTGTATTCCTGAGACTGGGCCACGGACTTGGACCCTGGTGTAGTTTGCCTTTCCTCTTCTGGTTCACGAGGGCCGTCAACGTCCATCCTCTCAGGGCTGTCGATGCCGCGAGGAATCTGTGTCCTGGGTTGTTCCTCGTATGAGACATTTGAATCCCTGGCGGCATTTTGATCATATCCCGAAGCTCCAGTAACCACAGATTGGTCGAGCATTGATCCATCTACCAGAGAAGCAACGGCAGACTCGACACCAATGGGAGAGTTAACAAAGTTGGGGTTCGCCGCGATTCCTCGGACAGCCTGACCAGTAGCAGTCTCATCAAATTGCTCTCCGCCTTCTGCAGAGACCCGGTCGAATTCCCGGCTGCGCACGTTGCCTGCTGCAGAGCCATCTGATTGCAAGAATAAGTGTTGACGAGTTCGTTCAGGTGACTTGGCTGGGGACGGCATTTCCATGGAATCCCGGGGTAGCGGTGCTTCACTGCCAGCTTCTGTGTATCCGGAAACACTGGGAATCGGGCTAAGTCCTCTGGCGCCGGCTTGATAAGGAACATACCGAAGAGGTGGAGGGACATCCTGCGTGCTGTAGTACCGGTGCTCAAAATCATCTTCGGGATAGTCAACAGTCTCAGGCACACCTCTGCTGCGTTCGTAGTCGTCGTAGGAGCCGATGGGAATCTTTCGTCCATACTCATCTGTCTCGTATTCTTCAACATAGTCCTTGTTGCCTCGAGGTAATGCTGTCAGGTCTCCATGAGATACGTTTGCGTGATGCATAGCCAGGGCATGTTGCTCTTGGTTTACTGGCGACTTGACACGAGCCGGGGTTGACGCGCCTGAAACTATCTGTTCGCTGTGGCCAAGGCCCCTAGCTGGCGCAGCCACAAGCTCTTCGCTCGCAGAGTGTGGTCGGTCTGATTCAGCCGATAGGATGGAAGTTCGAGTAAGATCGGACGGGTTTATGTCGCTCATTAGTGGCATCGGGGGTTCAGGTGCAAGGTGCTCGTCGTCCAACTCTGTATCAAACTGCTCGTGATCCAGGCTACGACTTCTGGTGTTTTCTGCTCTTCTCCTGCGTCTCTCACGTTGTTTTCTATCTGGTGACTGAACAACATCATCCATGGCAGCGCTTGCACCCTTGGCCAATGCCGCCCCAGCAGCTCCAACAGCAGCAGCTTTTAGCAGATTGTTACTGCGCCTTGGGGTTGTGACATCTCCTTCGTAGGCCTCGTATTCAGCGTTAATAGAATCATGGCTGGGGCTGCGCAATGAGATGTCATCCTCGTAGTCATGGCGCGCCTCTCGATTCCGCCGGTCTCTTTGTTTTGCCCCATCTCGCGAGCTCTCGCCTCGTCCGCCAGAAGACCGCCTGCGATCGGATGAGACGTCCTCTCTCGAAACAGAAGTGACGGACGAAGTCAGTGAGCCACGCCGACTTTCACGTTTGCTTTGCTCCCTCTTAAGCGCGCTCAATTCGGGTAGGATTAGCCTTCGGATAGCATCCTCCACAGTTTCAAGAAGTTTTGGGTTATTGATTGATGATTTCGAGGCTCCAGAGCGGACGGAACGCGTGTCAAGGGAGCGATGGCTCGGGGCGAGATGAGACGACACGGCACTGGAATCCGCTGCACTTATATTGGATTCCTGTTGGCCGCGACTGGACCGTCGGCGTGGGGACCGAGCCTCATCAACAGCGCGCTCACTAACAACACTGCTAGCCCTGCTTTTGGAATGTCGCCTCTTCTCGGACTTGTCTTTTGATTTCTCGGCAATTTTAACACGCTCCTTTGCTCGAGTCTTATTGTTGCTTATTTCGCCCATGGCCGCTCCTGCGAGAGCACCAGCGGCCGTTGCACCAATAAGTGCCTCACCGCGAAAAGGGCTAGAGGATCGTTTAGTGTCTCCCGCAGGACCCGAGCCGTCCAAAAAGCTGTCTGTTGGGATGGCAGAGATCTCGGAAGGATTCCCAGGCTGATACGGCTCGGCGGAGGGTATCAACGGACTCGCGGGGCGCCTTCGCCTGTGGCTGCGGTCTATTTCAATATCGATGGGATTTCTTGAAACATTCGATTCCTCTGTTGCCGAAGCATACGATGTCATGCTGTTTGCGTCCTCACCGTCGTGTAACTCGATTTCCCGAGACGCGATGGCTTGGTCAAGAGGAATGCGGCGGGTGAGGGAAGCCTTGCGGGAGCCCTTGGTCTCGGTTACTTGGATATGGTCGCCTTTGCTCTTCTTGGACGGGGTCAGACGGACGCGGACGCTTGGTTTACGGTCTTGGCCACCAGAGCCGCTTTTTCCACCCTCGAAATACTCAATCAGTAACGATGTTTGAGATTTGCTGGCTTTGTGGCCGCGAGTACGGATAGTGACTGGGGTACCATCCTCGGGAATAGAGTAGGAGGATTTCTCGTCGCCAGGCTTGGACAGGTCGGTTGCCAGCTCGCTCGGAGTTGTCGTGTCAGTCTCAGTCGGGGCAGGAAGTGGTGGTACTTTCCTAGATTCGGCGCCCATTGTGCTGACGTGCGGAGGGTAGCAGGAATGGGGTTTGAGCCGACGTCAGAGGCTCTTTATTTCACAGCCTCGCAGGTTGAAGATCAGGAGTAAGGCGGGCTACCGAGTCCCTGGAAGTTGAGGATATCAAAAGGCCGAGATGGTATCAAGACATGCGGAACGGTGCAACGAGACTACTGAAAGAAGCAAATCCTGGGCAGTGGTCAAAAGGTCGACCAGAGACACACAACACAGAAGACTGTTGCCTGTATCTCGGATTCTGGACATGCGACGAACCCACACTGGGCGACAGTTGACGCAATCGGTCGTGTCCCCAATCTTGGAGAAAGGGGGCGATGCAAATTCAAGAAAGGGTATTAGAGCGAAAAGAGGGAAAAAAAAAAGTGAAAAGACAAAAAGACGAAAGGCGTTGTTCCCGCCGTTAGACGTCGCAGGGCAAAACGGTTGCGCTTGGGGGGAAACGAAAGAGAGGCGGTCGTGCGAGCAGTGGTGTCAAGTCGGACCATGCGCAAGCCCAGTGCTGTGGCAACGGGGTGACGGAGTTGAGCAGTTGAGCACACCAACGAAAAAGAGGCCGTGTCCCAAGTCTCCAACGACTTGGCTTGTCTATTGTCGTTGTCGTCCAACTAGAGACTGGCTTTGTCCTGTCTGGTGCTAAAGTTGGGAGCGGCAGCAAGGATGTTCCCGCAGGTTCGCCACAAGTGTGAGCAACCCCGTATGTAACTCCGTGTGGACTTTGGTCGCAGATAGCAGATTACTGGCAGCAAGACGAGAGCAGACCATGTGCGAGGATGACGATGTGATGGAAGAAGATGAGAGGTGGGATCTTGTCCATGGGCGACAGGTGAAGCCAACGGGCGACCAGCAAGCGGCAGCGAACTAGCGGCAGGAGGAGCGGCAGGACAAGCAGCAGCAACCATCGGCCTGCTTCGAAGCTTGAACCACAAGATGATGGAGTGCGAGTGATCAATTGATGGTAGCGGCGGAGGCGGAGAACGAGCGAAGTGAGAGAGGCCCACAGACTCTCAGGACCTTCAGAGCGTCGGAGGAGGGGCGGTGGCAGCCCAACCAAACGCGCAAGCCATCTACGGAGAAGCAGGGCTCGACGATAGGACGACGACGCTTTGTTATTGTCCAAACAGGGCTCCGATTGACGGGGGGTTGGATTGATGAGTTGGCGGTGCCAACAAGTTGATCCAATGAAGCTTGCAGATAGCCTGCAGACAGCTTTGCTGTACCGGGGTGGCTGGTCGGGTGGGTGCGCGGGCAGCTCGGGTAAGCTAGCACGCTAGCGACGTCAATTGATGGACTTTTTGGACCGTTCGACTGTTGTGGTGACAATGTCCGGTGGCCTCAATGTCATCTAATTCGAATAGACGGTACCAAGCCGTGGTGTGATGGTGAAATGCTGCTGATGACGGTGGCGACAGCAAGGAAATGAGGAGCGGCGTTTGTGTGCTCACGAACGAATTCAAATAAAAAAAAAAGTAAGAGCAATGTCGGCACCAAACGTTGGTCCCATGTCCTCCGTAACTGCGGCCAGACTTTTTCAACGCCGCGGCACCGATGACAACAAACCAGACCAGAGACATGTTGAGCACGTCTTGAGCTGCAACACAAATGACACGCCTCACTAGCCCGTCCAAATGCATGCGCCTCCAGATGGCCAGGCGCACCGAGTCTGTGCACAGCTGCGCAGTTCTGCAAAAAATTCTGCAAGGTGAAGAAACGTCTGCACATGAAGCAACGAATTGTTCAATTGTGCCTCCTCTTTCCTTTTCTTTTCTTTTCAACTTGTCAATAACCTCCCTCGTCTGTCCCCAAACTAACCCTATTTGACACAGTCCGCTCCGGTTCCTCTTTTTGCACCCGAGATCATCATTTAAGAAAATTGAAAATTAAAAACAGTATCAGACCATCCGGGAAAGCTGCCAGTCGTTCCAACACTCGTCACAATGGGATCCGAGCTCGGCAGACATTACCGTCCCCAACCATGCACCGCGGTGTACCGTTTCAAAACTACCGTGATATTGATACTTGGAGCTCATGCGCCATGCGCCTCTTAAAACACCATTTGACCCTGTGGCCACAAAGTTTCGAGCGTTCCTCTTCTCCACAGAGGCCCGTCCGGGACCCAAATTCAATTTCAATGTCGCCAAGCCCACAATGTGCAGCCACATCCAGGGCTCCTCTCCAAATGCCACCTTCACAGACAAGCCCACGTCAACCAATCACTTGCATCAATTCTACGTACCTCGGGGTCTAGTCGCCTTGCTGCCATAGCAACCGTCAGATAGAAGCACAATATAGAAAAAAAAAAAAAAAAAGCTCGGCCACGCTTAATGAGGCCCTTTTTTTTTTTAAAAAAAAAAAAAAAAGAAAAGGAAAGAAAAAATAATTAACAGCATTGAGAATGCCGAATTGCCTCCATTCCCTCCATGTATGCAGCATCAGGCCACGACGATTAGTCGGTTCATTTGGGACATATCCCGGACCAAGTCCAGCAAGTCCGACTTGACCTTTTTGTTCGGCTATCTCTTCTTGGATGCCGGCCAAAACACTTGGGCTTGGCACGTTGCCTCCACACGTTGATTCCGTAGTCTCCATTCATCGTCCCAATTCGTAGTGTGGGCGGCTGGCGATGCGCCAGATTTGGAGGCACGCCTTCCAAATATATTCCTCAGCGTGGTTCCTAGAGCTTGAATGGTTTTCCTTTGTACACGGACTGGGGCGTGAGCCTTGTTCGAACATCGCGGCAAATCATCAGGTCACATCCAATCCCATCTAAAGGGCGACATGTCAGGAAGTTATCACTATACATTCTACGAAGGACGGAGTATGCAATGGCACATGGCTGTATGCACCAGTCGATGTTATGCACTCCAAACTATCAACATGCAAGAGTCCGGTGCGTGAAATCAACAGCACGCAATCGATAGGTTGAAGGACAACCTAGTCAGAGGCAATAAGTATTCCAATTCTTCGGGGGCCGTTGCACTAACTGTCTCCATTGTTCTATAGCTCGTCTGCATCACTCTGTAGTTATATGCCCATGTCCAATCTTCACGACTACACGCTTGACTGCTTTAAGGCTCACACCCCTCGCCAGAGGTGAATTTTAGATAGCACTATCTCGGCAGTTTTGTAGGGGTGGCTGGAAACAATCCGGAATACTACACAAATAAATTACGAGCAGCACACCAATAAGCAAATGTCTTGATACATTCCTCATATACGACGCGGCCCGAGACGAATTACAAGACCATTACCTCGTAGTACAGTACGCCAAAAACAACCAATGTACACAATTGGGAAAATGAAAACAAAGACATCATACTAGGCGCAATTTCGTTCCCATATGCAATGAAAGAGAGTAAAATGCTTGCTGTGAATGGTACAGTACGCGCTCACTTAATACAGGCGTTACTCACAAACGTAGCACTGCACTTGCTCATCGTGATAGCTCTAATATCTAGGGCTTCTAATCCTGCTCCCGCAACTGTGCTCATGATGACATGATGTAACAAGCAATGTCTGTCATCGATACCGGCTAACCCAACACCGCATAGTGCATGGGAACGAGACATTGTGACGTTAAGAGCTCATTTCGTATAAGCTGTCCAGAGATCTAGTTCTATATATGAACAAGATCAAATTGGGGCCCAGAACCAACTCGTCACCAGCTAGCCTTCAGTCTTTTCTCCACGACCACGGGTTGATTTCGAGCTCGTTCCAGAGACCCGCCGTCTCAAGTAAGCGCATTCCGTTATTCACTCAGCGGCGTCAAAACACTTTCACAGACCAAGTGTGGTGAGAACCCTCGAGCTCTGTCCCTGAGCTGGAGCAGGGCAACACCGTCACAGGACCTGGTGTGGTGTCATATCGACAATACCACCGTGCCAAATTCGATGGGTGCCACCTTGCTCACCGATTCAAGCGTGGCCATTTCTCAAGCTGTAAAACGATTTTGCGTTTGGTCGTTGAAGCCACGCGCAAAGGCGCCTATCAGCCCGTTTCTCTACATCCAAGGACCTGTAGGATTCCTACGGACTTTCTTCTGACAGGCGTCCACGAAACTAATAACCTGACCGCTTTGGCAGTAGCCCCGTAACTCAACTCGTTCTCTCCATCTCATTACTGTAGTCCAATTGCAGATCTGTAGGAATAACAAATAGGCATACTTCTGTGACTATACATGAACCAGGAGACAAAAGGAAAGGGGAAAGAAAGGGAGAAAGTCGTAACAAAAGCCGAATCTCACCCCTGTTGCCCAATTCATTACCAGGCACGCCAAGTCCACCAAGTCAAATGCTCCATTCGCATGCTTGCATTTGGGAGCTCCCAATTTTCCCACAATCTGGTGCGATAATCATGTCCAACGTGAAAAACAACAAAAAACAGGTCACGAAGTCCTCGTATCTGTTGTAACTGCCGCCGGCGGCTGGGCAGGATATGCTGGCGGTCGTCCTCCAGTCTCCAAGTCCCGTAGCTCCGAACCCTCCTCGCCCGTCTCCTCTCGCCTTCTTGCATGTCGATCATGTATGGCGGGCGGCTTCTTTGAATCGTACGGCGGGGGCGCCTCACCCAGCTCATTCAAGCCTTCCACCGATCGCGTCTCTGACCATGGCGACCACCTCAGGCCGCGCCTGTATCTCATGTAGGAGCTACCCACAAGGACTCTGTCCTCAGGCCAGGCATGCCGGTCGGGGTTTTGTCTCCGCCTTTGGCGATTCCAGATGAACATTATGAATGTACCGACAGAGAAGACGGCAATAAGAGGAATGATGACCCAGACGAAGGGTTCTGTGGACATGCCCGAGGTATCGGTCGTGGACATGTCGGACGTGGAGGTCTAGGATTTTACTACATAAAATAAAGTAGAACCGCTTTTTGACGATGGGGAAAATCAGTAGGGTATCATATATGCGTAGCTATTAGGTATATCGACGATGGAATATGTCGGCGTCGTACCAAGGCGTGGATATTTGGATGGCGTGCTG